ATTAAGTTCTTGCTTACATTGGCTTGAATAAGCCCGTAAGCCACACTCGTACTAAATCCGCGTGTACTTTAGCTTTGATTGTGTGTTTTTGACTATTCAGACTGAAGCTTAGTAAAAGATCATATTTGATAAATAATAACATTACATTCAGCTAACCTCATCACTATGTTGTGACATTTTCAAAGGGTGTTTTTGGCTAGTTATTTGTACTTTTTAAGCTTTTCTTAGTGAAAAAAAAACGCCGACCAATCGTATCCCTGTTTTATATTTCTCTTTTATCTAGAGTGCTTAAGAAATTTCATTATGTTATGACATAAACTTGGTCATGCACAATATTATACGAAAAGTTGTGGAACTCCAAAGAAGTTCTTGCATATATATAGCCTGAAATTTGCTGCAGTCGTTGATGTAAAGAGTGCTTGGCAGCTTGCATTATTTGCCAACTCATAACCCGACAGAGAAATATTAATATTAATAAATATTAATATTAACAAACGCTGACATTGGAAGGATGGCGATAACAATTTCACAATCTGAATCTTATGATGTCATAAAAATCTTGATTGTGCTAGCCGTTTTCTTTCCTATGTTTATCATAACGATGGAACCAACATCAACATCAAGTTTATCGCCCGATATGAGATTAAATGAAAATTTATGAAACTGACTGTGGCTTGTACTCAACGCTGGAGAAGAAGAGAAATCCAAATGAAGTCTTACAAGTTAAGAGTTGTTGCGCGATATATTCATCCGTGGAATGTGGTTTTATGAGCCTACTTCGGTAGGATTGCTATGACATAATAATGTTTTCAAATCTTATCAGCTGTATTCCTGGCAATAAAACACTTTCACATAATTGATTTGTACATCGACTATGCGAGATGGTTTAACGTCGTTGTTCGCGTCATAAAGATACTCCGGCAGAAGCTCAACCATATAAGCAAAGCTCCTCTCTGTGGCAGCAGATCTCCCCATCACTACTCATTCACGTCACACAGTTTCAACTTTTGCCAACATTGAGCAAATTCCTTATATTTTTAGAATTTTTGTGCACTTTAGAATGTGGTTCGCACTCTTAGCAGGTCGCTGCTCTAATTTTCTCCACTTTTGGGCAGAGTGAGTTGTTGTTTACTGATAAATGAGTCTAGACTATTTAGTTCAAGACTATCAAGTTCCATCCTTAAGATCCAAAGATGCCTAACAAAGCGCAACCTAGTAGCTTCAAACGGGGACCGGGAGGCGAAATAGGAATGGCTGGTAGGCAGGGAGCAGGTATGGAAGCGCGATGATGGAATGGGAATGCCTTGGAGACCAAATATGGGGGCCAAGAATGGGACCAAGAGGAATGGAACCAGAAATGGGAGGCCGTAGACATGGATTCGGAGGAGAGGGCCGTTTCAACGGCAGACATGGATTTGAAAGAGGGAATGGTTTCAACGGCAGACATGGATTTGGAGGAAAGGACCGTTTTAACGGCATAATAATGCAACGTCCGTTGAGAGATTAAGTCAAGAAATAGATTCAAATAAAGATAATGATATACTACTTTTTAGGATAATGGTAGTTGCATGCTTTTCCAGCATTCTACATAAACAAAGTTGGCACTTCTATGTCGTTGAAAAAACTTACCTTTGAAAAGTTAAAGATCTCTGCTTGAGGGGTGCGTGGCGTTAGGTACCCAGCCAAGGTGCGGGCGTTAGGTACCCAGCCATTAGTGGTATACAGTAAGCCACGCGCCTTGGCTGCTTTAACAGCGGGTACCTAACGATACACCAAATCCTAGCTGCTAGAATAGCCCAACTAGCTCGCTGAAGCGCTGAGGCTTGCGACCCACATGAAAAAGATAGTTCGAGAAAATCAAAAGAATGCGCGAATAAAAGCGCAAGTTTACAACGCTTTTTTTATTGCTTTATTTAAATCAATTTTAGAACCACAGAAATTCGGTGAAAGCTAAAAACAGGGTAAGGCTTTTGTGAACAGTTCACATATTTTTGCAAAAAAAATGTGTAATCTGAACCTATAATGTCAGAGGGAATTTTATGAAAATAAACCTTTTAGAACACCAATAAATCAAAATTTTATGACTAATGAAGAAAAGCGCACTTTTGGATGCGCCCCTGGCGGCTCGTTTTGAGGTGTGAAATTAAGGGTCGTAACACTTGCGTTAATATTGCCACAGGAATTGTAAACTATGTCAATGCAGATTATTAAGGTCATCATTTCGGTCATAGTTAAGACCAACAGGTTTATGGGGCATTGATAAGCACACATTTTTCTTTATTTTGGAAGATTTCTCGTTTGAAAATTTCATTGAGCTACTGTATTTCATCATGCCTACTTTCTCTGTAGTGCTTTTTTGGAGGGCTTCATATTGCAATTGTTTCATATTCATTTTCTTTTCTAGCAGCCAAAATATGCTCAGTTTATCCAACCAAGCTATGAATTTTTTTGTAACTCCCTAAAAAGCGAAAGATTTTCCCAATAATTGTTCTCAGTAGAGTTGGTGCTTTTTCCTGTTGCATTCTCTTGGCGACACTCATCCGAAATTCGCATAGCTCTGTAATTTACAATTTTCGTTGACTGGAACAGAGCTAGTGCCCTTCCCATATCAGTGGGCCACATAGTCCGCCTTAAAGTTCCGATTCCTGATGACAAGTTCTCGTCGAAGCTCTTCTTTCAATCGGTTCCTCTTCTCATTGTCAAAAATATATTAGAAGCAGTTTTTTTTTGAAACAAAGGAATATTTCGTGCAACTTATTTGCCAGGAGCGTCTCCGAAAGTGCGCTTTGCTTCAGTAATATCATAAAATTAATTCTACAAAGTTTAATTTTTTGGAACTACCGCTGACTCATCGGTTAGATCAGATTATCACAATTTTTCTGCAAAACTGTGTGAACTGCTCATAAAAGCCTTACTCTGTTTCTAGCTTTCATCACCGAATTTCTGTGGTTTTAAAATTGATTTAAAAAAAGCAATAGAAAAAGCGTTGTAAACTTGCGCTTTCATTCGCGCATTTTTTTGATTTTCTCGAACTATCATTTTCCTGTGGGTCGCAAGCGCCAGCGCTTTGGCGAGTTTGGTGAGCCTTTCTAGCAGCTAGAATTTGGTGTATCGTTAGGTACCCGCTGTTAAAGCAGCCAAGGGGCGTAGCCTAGTGTATACCACTAATGGTTCGGTACCTAACGCTCCCACCTCGGTTGGGTACCTAACGCCCGCCCCCCCCCCCCCTGCTTGAGAATGTGTTATTTCAAACAAAATGATGCAAGAATGAAGGTGGATGTATTATTAATATACGATCTGTACGCACACATTTGCTTTCGATACTGCCAACCATTTGCATGGCCATAGCTGCTTCGCAGAGGCTCGCACTGGTTCTACTATCCACATCCTTTCTCGTAATCGCAAAGTAACGCCTTTGAAACTTACCTCGCGATGCCGATCATTACAATGGAATTGTAAATAACTACTCATTCCAAATGCTTTTCGTCTATGATGGGTGACTTCGGGGGGAAGAAAGCTTTCTCCAAAAGTTCAAATGCAAGTTCTAATCAATTACTAGAGTTATAATGACTTGGTAGTCGCCAGGAGGGTGATGACAACCGTGAGTTACATCTCTGAACAAAAACCTTTAATTCTTGGGTATAACCTTGACAAATCGATTGTCTATGCAATCATCCCTTTTTGGCGCCATTCTTGCGTAAAAGTAGAATTTTTATTCAATTTTTGGCCGGAGTCTATGGTATGCGGATCTAATTGTTGAATAAATCCACGACTTCGGATAAAGATCAAATACAGGCGCACTCTGACGCGCCAGAAGTCGCGTAGATCCGTATGGCGCTCAGTTTTCACAGGTTCCAATTATCGGATCGGCTTCTGCTTTTGCACAGTTTACCCACATGCTGATACCAAAATTCTAGCTCAAGACGTTTGCTGTAACTCGCTCCTCGAAATAAAAATCTTCATACAGGGTGTTCCGAAAAATGTGTTTAGTTTGATTGTAAATAACTCTCTTATAAGTGAAGTGTTTCGAGAAGCTTTGGGTACCATTTTGTAGAGCAAGTTTGAACTAGATTTACAATTTGGAGCGAATCATCGATTGCTCTTCATTACTGTAGGATTAGGGTAAGAACTTTCAGCATATGGAACCATTGTGAAATATAACACCTAATAAAATTTTTTTCAAAAAATCTGAAAAATCGTGTACTAGGATTTTCGCGCGTGCTAATTCCATGTAACAACTTCTTACGAGTGGTTTCGGCTTTTTCGATGGTGTAACTACATTTCTAACAAACGCTGGGAACTGAGTTATTACGAGTTACCGGAGATAACTCAGGAAAGAAGTATCACACTAAATGGAAGTTTTGTATTCGAAATCAGCGGCTTCCACTATCGTAGAATTAGTTTTTGTTTGGTTTTGTTCCGAGGAAGAATATGACCTTCAATGGCCTATTATCATTGTCGAAGTTCCTACCGTAATCCTACAGTATTAAAGAGCGATAGATGACTCTCTCCATACTGTGAACCTAAGTTTGACCTCGCTCTACAAAACGATACCTAAAGCTTATCGAAACATTTCATTACGAGAGAGTTATTTACAATCAAGCAGTAGGTATGGCGGACAAACTAAGCAAAAGATAAACTTGTTTTTTGAATTCGTTGAAAGCTAGAGGGTCCAACAATCCGATAACATTTTGCCTCTGCTTTTGACGCAGTTTAAATAACTAGGAAATCTGTGCTGACTGAGTTGTCATTACAAGCAATTATCAACTTCGGCATTCAAATAAGTTCAGACTATCCTGACGCTAGCTACCATGAGATTCTCGATGACTTTTCTTTTCATTAAGCATTTCAGAGTGCGGCAATCCTCTCTTCATGCCATGATTCCCACGATGCTTTACTTTGACACCGTATACAGAACCCATTGGTGAGTTAAGGCAAGTTATGCTGTTCGCGGCTGCTTTCACCAATCACATAGCTTATCATGCGATGTCTAGAATAGCTCAACAAGAAAATTTATTTGTGAGAAGACCAGAGCGAATGTATCATAAATTAAACCCGTGAGAAAATCTTATACATGATGAGATCAATATGCGAAGATATACAATGAAACCGTTATCAATGATCAACAGATAGAATGAACACAAAATGCACATCACAACATGTACTTCGAGGGTAGAAAAGTGAAAAACGAGTTGTACGCTTTGGTGAAGAAAACAAGGATGAGATGCTATATAGGGAACGATAACTGGAGACCTAGAACTGAGAGCCTAGACTCTAGAAGGCAAGAAATTTGTGCCTAGAACGTGCTTAAGTTGCGGCATATGCCACATCCAAGCGCGAATTCTTCGCCAGCGGGTGGATGAGGTCGCCGAAGAGGACATGGACCCTCACCAGGCGTAGCACGGGGACCTGTCGGGCAGGGTGGAAACTGATTTCTGGGAAGGCATACCAGGCGTTGGAAGTCGTCGTGACACGCTGCACAAAAATGTGTCGTACCGAAGCTGAAAGCAATGAAGTAAAACCCATGATTTATAAGGAGGGGGAGGGGTAGTAAAAAAGCTTACCAGAAATACACGGCTATAGAGCAGCAGTACCGACATTTGTACTCGAGATATTCTGCTCCATGTCGGCCGCACACTTCAGTCCCAGCTGGAGCCGAACAGCCACCACATACAAGCTCAGCAGCGTTGTATTGAAATGATTGTAGTGCCTGAAAAGGGCGTCCCACATGATCAAAAGCGTCTGAGAATAATTATGAAAATTACTCATGAACTCACTATCTGACAACGACTTTCTCCTCCAAAATATGCTTTGTTGCAAACGCTGCATAGGACGTACATGTAACGATCCATCGCGTACTCCTCTGCTTTTTCGAAGTACTCACTAGAATGAGAGGATCGATAAGAACTCTTACGATCACGGTTGCGGTTTGTGTACCTCTGTGGGTCGGTTAGAGCTGTGCAGCCCAACAAACCATCAAACTCCAAGCGCATCTTCGCCTTCGCTGTTACGTCAGCTTTAAGTGCCAGTAGTGGCTCGAGGAGATCAGCAAGACCAGGATGCGAAATCTGAGATGGTCAGTTCGAAGGGCCATAAACACCACATTTTATGGGTCTGCTGTTAAGAAGCAAAGCTGCTAGGCCTAGCTAGCTAAATATGTTATTGCTAGCGTAAGCACCAGGTAATATCACCGTCATTTGCAAAAATCGATCTAAGCATAAACTAAGCTAAGACTTCATACCAATTCCGAAAATGGCTGGAAATGTAGAAGCTAGAAAACGCCAGTTGGATTTTCACAAAATAGCGACTGACCGGTACATTGCATAGCGGACAATTCATGAAGCGGAACTGTATTCTTGGTCCAGGCCATCGTTTTTCCAACACAGCTCGAACGCAGTGATAATGAAGCACATGACCACAGCCAAGTTGCACACATGGTGCAGCACACAGCCGATCCGTGAAACATACGACGCAAACATCATCACCGTCTTGGGCTGTCCCTAAAAAGCTTGGTGAATTTAACAACCAGATCCGTGTTTCAGCAATGATTAGTTATGTACCTTCACTGGCGCAGATAAGGCAGGGTAGGCATTGAGTTTCGCCAACAATTCCTCCACACTGATGTCCACATGATAGTGTCCGACAACAAGCAGTGGCAGAAAATTTTACACAGTCAGGATGCGAGCAAACGCCAACGAACTGCAAAAAAAAAATAGTTTCAAAACAATTACATTTCCAGACACATCCAGAATTTGATGGTGTAGAGCTTGCAAAAAAAAATTATGATGATTTTCAAATTGAGTTTGACGTAGGTACCTGATTATGCGGATCTAAGGTGTTCCCACAGAATCTACAAACTGTCGGTGTCGATCTTCCTGCCGACAAATTTGCTGCGTTGGTCAAAGCGAAAAAAGGATCGGCTGGTAGCTCCACTAAGCCATTCAGAGATTCTCCATGGAACAATATCTGAAACGTGTGCATGTGTCGTGAGGGTCCGTATGGTCTTCAAATTGTTCACAAACCAAAAGATTCGCAACTCTCATTCTAGCGCACCCCTGATGAATGTCAATCTCTTCTAAACGAGCCGGAGGTGGTGCCAGTGAGGTGACACGATGTGACCGCTTTCGCTTTTGCAAATGCATGACAGCAAAGCACTCCCGACACAGGGCACATTCACAATCCGAGCAGAAAACCTATAAAATCGAACATCAAATCCATCCCAGATGGAGCTGTTCAGCTCACCTGAGCTGGAGTCATGCCGTCATCGTGGTTCTCACATAAAGTCACCGGTTCTTGACTTGGAGTAGGCACATCATTCCATTTCTCACTCAGGGCCAACCATGAGCGATCACGAACAAGAGCCAAAGCAGCAACTGAGAGCCAGAACCTGCAAGATACAAAAGATAGGCTTTCTTCAGTTGTGGACCAACAGAGAGGGCAAGTGAGGGACCCGAAAAATTTTAGAAAGTGGTCTACATTTGAACTAGTGCAAATAACAATATTTTCATGCTAGCTCAGAATTTCTTGAAAAACTAAATTAGCTTTGTGAAAAAATATTTCGAGCTACAAGCTTGCAAGATAAGCCCACAAAAAATTGCAAGGCATCCAAAAAGTTTTAAGAAGGACTATGCTTTTTCAACAAAAAGTACTGAATGCCCTCTCAAGGATTTGGCGCACTGCCACCGCCATAATACATCTCGAAACAGATTCAAATGCTGCATACCTTTTCGAGTTTAATATAGATGGCACAGACTCCTTATTCATACTTTCTCGGGAACCAGATTTTGATAATGACGTTGTCAGCTGTACGACACCCAAGAGCGCAGTCGCCAGTTCTCGACGCATGCACACGGACCAGTCTTCGTTGAAAGCACCCGAACTAGAAGAAAATGATGTTTGAGCTGAAGTAGAATGGATATCCTTTTCGCATACCAGACATCGCTGATAAATTGTGCAGTCATTTTACCAATCTCAGGCGACACAGCTCGATCGGTCCTCCAGCTGGTGGGAGCGTTCGTCAAGCAGCTCTGAAAAAATTGCGAGTCAGAATTTTTGTTTGAAAAAAAGAAAAGCCTTACGTTCATGGTAGCCGTAGACACAGAATGTGCTGCTTTGTCTCTCACTTGAAGTACCAAAGCCTTCGCTACCGGCACCAATAAATGCCTCAGTAGACGGCCAACATCAACAGTGGATGCACGAGCAGTTGGAAGAAGACTACCAAGTGATGAGAGGCATTGCGTTTGAACTGCCTGAAAAATTTCTCGATTTTTTTAGAACAAAAAGACTTGAGTAAACCTAGATGGATCAGAAATCACCTCCGGGGCAAATGCTAGCAAACGGCTGGCAGCTTGCAGGACTTGGTGTCTAGCGACCACGTCGCAGTCACCGCTTCCGATGGCCCGTGTTTCACACATACGATTTGCCATTGTCAATAGACCGACAGCGTAGGAGTAGTTGCGCTTCCCTTGATTACACAATCGCTCCACTTCCCTAAATAGGCCATCATAATCAAGGCGAGCGGAAAGCATGGAAGAAATTACCTTTCCAGAGCTGCCTCTACCTGACTGCAGACATAGTTCTGAAGCGGTTGCAGTGTGACCCGACTGAAGAGCAGGTCAACAACTCTTTCTCGCAGTGCATCTTGCTGCTCACAGCTGTCTCCAGAGAAAGCCTAGAATTCAATTATTTCTGGAACATTGGGCAGTGCAGTTTTCTCTGGAAAATGTCTTATTTGAGTATTTAAGTAGATGGCAGTTTGACCGCACCCTTTCCTGATTCTTTGAAAAGGAATTTGCAACGAAATAGGCACTAGCTGAAGCTGTTCTTTGAAGCAGACCGACTTTAGGCTACATCAGTAACGATTGAGGCTTGATTTCCTTTAGAAGTCCAGTCCCTTCAGGAAATTTTTTGATTTTGGCCTCGTCTTTTCTACAGAAATTATGCGAGGAAAATTACCTGAGCTGAAATGGCTTGGAATAAAGCAAATGCGTCGTGCTGTGTATTGTTGAAGAAAAGTTGATGTGAAGCCGATGGACGTATAACTTCACCATTGCCTGCTGGGGGAAATCCAAGCACTTGCAGCTGTAAAGGAATGAGATGGGGGGGGGGGGGCGGGCGTTAGGTACCCAGCCATTAGTGGTATACACTAGGCCACGCCCCTTGGCTGCTTTAACAGCGGGTACCTAACGATACACCAAATTCTAGCTGCTAGAACAGCCCTCCTAGCTCGCTGAAGCGCTGGGGTATGCGACCCACATGAAGATAGTTTGAGAAAATCAAAAAAATGCGCGAATGAAAGCGCAAGTTTACAACGCTTTTCCTATTGTTTTTCTTAAAATCAATTTTAGAATCACAGAAATTCAGTGATGAAAGCTAAAAACAGGGTAAGGCTTTTATGAGCAGTTTACATAGTTTTGCAAAAGAAATTGTGATAATGTGATCTAACCGATAAGTCAGCGGGAGTTTCAAAAAAGTGAACTAGAGCTATGCCAATTTCGGATGAGTGTCGCCAAGAGAATGCAACAGGAAAAAGCAGCAACTCTACTGAGAACAATTACTAGAAAATCTTTCGCTTTTTAGGGAGTTACAAAAAAATTCATAGCTTTGGTTGGATAAACTGAGAATATTTTGGCTGCTAGAAAAGAAAATGAATATGAAACAATTGCAATATGAAGGCCTCCAAAAAAGCATTACAGAGAACGTAGGCATGATGAAATACAATAGCTCAATGAAATTTTCACACGAGAAATCTTCCAAAATAAAGAAAATGTGTGCTTATCAATGCCCCATAAATCTGTTGGTCTTAACTATGACCGAAATAATAACCTTAATAATCTATGTTGACATAGTTCATAATTCCTGTGGCATTGACGCAAGTGTTACAACCCTTAACTTCACACCTCAAAACGAGCCTGATGACAATATGTGAAAGAAATATTCCGTTTGATATTTGCCAGGGCGCATCCGAAAGTGCGCTTTCCTTCATTAAAATCATAAAATTTTGATTTATTGGTATTCTACAAGGTTTACTTTCATAAAATTCCCTCTGACATTATCGGTTCAGATTATCACAATTTTTTTTTGCAAAACTATGTGAACTGCTCATAAAAGCCTTACCCTGCTTTTAGCTTTCGATACCGAATTTCTGTGGTTCTAAAATTGATTTTAAAAAAAGCAATAGGAAAAGCGTTGTAAACTTGCGCTTTCATTCGTGCATTTTTTTGATTTTCTCGAACTATCTTCTTCATGTGGGTCGCAAGCCCCAGCGATTCAGCGAGCTAAGAGGGCTATTCTAGCAGCTAGAATTTGGTATATAGTTAGGTACCCGCTGTTAAAGCAGCCAAGGGGCGTGGCTTAGTGTATACCACTAATGGCTGGGTACCTAACGCCCGCACCTCGGCTGGGTACCTAACGCCACGCACCCAATGAGATGGAAGGGACCAACCAATTCGAGGTACCTTGAGGTACTTACCTGACGGACTCGAGATGCATTATGGGGACCTTTCAGGGAGATGCTGACATGAGTAACGCTAGCTACGCAACATTTGACCCATCCACAGAAGTTCTAAAATGGAAAAGGATATGAAAGCACTGACGATGAAAGCTATGCCAATCTGACTTGATCCAAATTTTTTGACAGCAGATCTCTTCGTGACCCATCAGATAAAGCTGCTCGAAATGATATTTGCGATGTTCTGCAAGCCTCATCGCGAGAGTTGTCGATAAATAGACACAGAAGCACAGGTGTACAATTCTCAAAAGTCACATTCAAGGTGCGAGACCGGCTTTTGTCCTAAAAAAAAAAACAATTTCCATGATGGTTCTTTCTCAGCAAATTTGATGGCTATTACTTCCTCTCCACTTTCCCAAAATGTTTCCGGACTACCGTCGGTCAAACAGACAACCATGGCTTGTCGCGAACTAGCCTCTATACGGGCATGGCTCGTTATGTCGCGTGTTTCCTGCAACCAGAAACTTTGGTTTCATGGACCTCAAAATTCTTGTCTAAAGCCCAAAAAGCTTAGGCGATCTGGATGGTACTAACCTTGACGTCCACTCTGTCACTTGTCCTTTGCGCCACTGAACGGTCAGCGGAATCCGTAATCCAGTTTTCAGATATAGAGGGTTCCGACAGAACTCCACCCACTGTTCCGAGAATGTTACATGTTAGTATGAGGAGTTCCTGCAAAGAATATCTGACGTCGAAGCGAAATTCATGCCTAAATGACATACTTGCTCGTGAGCAGTCAGCTGGATTGTCCATGCTTTGAAACAAAGAGACCTCAACCGCGCATCTACTCCCGATGATTGCAGTATGACAGCAATGGTGTACAGAAACGCGTGGAGGTGTTGTACCATTTTCGCTGAAAAATCAAACTAGAGCATAAGCGAGTTTTGAGGAAGAGTTCAAAATCATACCAGCCAGAGGTCCAGCCAAAAAGCACAGTCTCCATGGATGCGGAAGAACCCGTACCGGTTGAGATGTTACTATGTCAGAAAGGGAGTGATAAGAAGAAAGAGCTGCCAGATACTGCAGAATGATGTCGGATACACTAAAAAAGCACGGTACATCGCCCATTCCGCTATATTTCAAATCCGCCAAGATTAACTGTGGTTATAGAATTCTTGGTCAACTCACCTGGTTTCAGAGGACACCAATCTAAGCAACCAGTTCCATACCCGAAATGCATGGGAGAAGCCTACTGCTCGGACTATCGACTGTTCACAAGCGGTGCGGAGCCTGGAAAATAAAGTATATAAAAATGGCAACCATTTCTGTATTTAGGTTATCTCTTATTTGAATCTACAAACAAAATGATTCTTTGAAATTACCCACAAATGCACTTGAGATTAGGCAATTACGCCATCATCAGTTAACCAAAAGCAGCACTTAATGGATATTTTTTTCAAAAAAGTCCTCACCTACGACATCCAAATAACTTTAAAACTTAAAAGTATCGAACCTTTTTAGATCATGATGTTCCACAACAAAGGCTAGCACAGGTCGCTTCAACATTTCTCCAGTCGTAGGAGTATGATGGGATATCAGAGTACGTAGAGCTGCGGATGGAGATTGCAGGACCTGAGAAAAGCATAAAAGAGCATCGAGATGTATAAGTGAGGAAGCTGAACGCACCTCTCTCGTATCACCTTCATCACTTCTTGTCGCATCCATGGCTGCCTGATTGGGTGCAGAAGGGGGAGATGCAGGCACGGCTTTTGGCCCAGGGTCAGAAGCATGTCCGGTTTTGCTCAACGACTGCGACAGAAACGAGGAACGAGCGAAAAGTGCAGAATCGGCCACTTTCTTGCCGATGATATTGCTCCTGGCCATCGCTGATGGGCTCGGTGTTTGAGTCGGAAACAAGTTGATAGTCCATCCAGATGTTGCAGCGGAAGAAGCCTGAAAACAACTTGGTTTAGCTGCAGAAACGAGAAAAAGCACAAGAAGAGGTCTAAAAAGGAGGAAAAAGAATTTAGAAGAGATACGAAATGAAAATTTGCTTACTTACCTTAGAATCACAATCTAGCGAAGAGTTCAAATCCAGAAGAAACATAGCATTTTGTCTCATAATGATTTCTGGACGGGAATCGAAAGCAGTTGTTGACAGCCGAAATTCTCTCCAGCGCCGTGTCCTCTCCTTAAAACAATGCAATTACTCCAGCATGAGAACTTCAAAAAAAAATTAGAACTACCTGCCGATAGCCGGCTGGTGTTTTGCGTAAGTACTGGGCACGGCATGTGGGGCATAGGAGATACCTGAAGCAAGGTTGTTAATTATGATGATGCGATACATAACCACTTCACTTCAGCGAGATCACCTCACCTTCCTAGCACGTTGATTTTTTGAATTTTTTCATTGATGATTTTCTCGTTTTTCTTTTTGCAGATAAGCAAATAAGCCTCCCTTTTGCTAACGTTTTTCTTTACAAGGCTACTAACACAGGTAACCGTATTCAAATCAATTGACTTCAACGCTTACCACGTGGATGCAGCTCGTCCACCGCTGCCACAGTCCCCGGACCATCCCGAAGTGAACTTCCCGGAAGAGTTGTAGCCATATCTGAACGATAAATCCGTAGACAGGAAGGTGGCCGTCATCTCGAACAAAAACTTCAATGCAGAAAACATCGTCTTTTGGGATAAATTTCATTTTGTTTGTATTCTTTTGCAAATAAATTTGACCAATTATAGCTTACCCTTGAGAGTCTTGTCCACATCCTGGATGATTCATCCGCATGTGTACAGTGATGGGAACTTTGAAACTGCAATCGCATAGCTCACATCCACCTCCAGATGCCTGTATAAAAATGGTCAGTACTATGACTTCACGACTGGCTAAAAATTGCCGTACAACTACCTCTCTCCTTCTAGTCACACTTCCTAGGGCCTTGCCAACAGTTGGTGGTACAATAAGATGCTGATCAACACTTGTCCTTACTGCAGAACAGACTTCAATCCATAAGCGAACTATAGGCTGTAAAGCGGCAGGAGCTGCAGTCTCGCGAGCCTCGGAGTTACTCCACAACTAAATACAATCAGCTGAGAAACCAGAATGCAGAGTTCTCGATGTGCCGGAGATCAACCGACATTCTGCAGATTTTGCTGATGAAATTTCAGGTAAGCAGCGGCAGCCATGGCATCTTTGACGAGGTGTTCGTGCCATAAAAATGCAGCAAATACAGCGCGACAGCATTCGGCTACGGAAGGTCGTAAAGCCGAGGCCATAGTAGTGGTACTGTAAAAGAAATTGTGATACTATTCAGAAAAATGGAAAGCCTCATTTACCCTTGCTGTCTTGGCGGTGGCGAGCGCTCTTCGTCGTCATTTCCATTGACAGACAGGGACTGCGACTGAATGGAACTGCGGCCAACCGAGTTCTGAAACTGTGAAGATTTGAAGCGCGTTACCCTCAGGATTGTAGCTATAATTACCTCTGCCAGGATAAACTGGTTGCTATCAGCTACCCGTACCCAGACACCATGCTGATTTGACACCCATCCACTACCTTCCAGCTCGGTGCGTCCTTCCAAGATAGCGCCTTCTATGAGCGCATCTGGGGATGGTCGACTGTACAGCTGTATCCTCTGCGTAGCGTCAAGTACGTAAGTCTAGAATTTTTAGATTTCAAAAGATGATTTGGTTGATGCAAAAATTGCCCTTTTACCTCATTTGCCTCTATGATGACACTCTGTTGCGTAGGTGAGGTATGTAAAGTAGGAGGATCTTCTTGTCGTCTCACCGGAAGCCTATCCGCGATATCGGTAGCGATCGGAATTAGTTCACGATGGAGATGTTGATGATAGGCAAGACACCATACCTGGATTTACAGTGCTAAGAAGTAAGTCTGGAAAAAATACTTTCATTGATTACGAAACTACTAGTTCTCAACTAAAATGACAAATTGCGAAATTCGATGAGAAATGATGATCGTTACATTGGCTTCGCTGTCCAGCAATAGCAGTCCTAGTATTTCCGTTCGGGTGGGACAAAAACTTTTCGAGTAAAGGTGCGGGGCTACGCCACTCCGAAAAATTTTTTGGGATAGTTCCCAAAATTTTTCCGAAAAATTTTTTACAATGCTAATTAAATAAAACATCAAGAATTATTTTGAATACCAGGTATTCAAGCAAATTTACTTGCACATTAGCCATGGGAATTCTCATAAACTACTGATGACTCAACGAAGGCAGGCTAGACTCCATGAACTACGAACCTTGCATTGGATGACCTGGAAGAGAAAAAATATTGAACCGCACCTGTCCAGACATATTTCCATGACCGTACAGTACAGCGGTTTCATCGGTCAGTCGCAGCCATTTCCCGTCCTCATTCTCGATTTTCTCGATATACGAAATCGTACCGCCGCTAAAAACAAAACCATTCAACTACAAGAATCAAGGCGAGGTTACAGGAGACTGACAAGAGCTAACACAACTGTAAGCGATGTAAGGTACCCCTCTATTATCGAAAAATTGGTCTTATAATCAAACGGATCCTGATTACAAAGATTTTATTACTCCCATCAATGCTTCTAATTGGCAAAAGCATAGAAATCATGACGCTAGACATCGTAGACGAAAGACAAATTCTTGTGCAAATAAATTTTTTTGTTGCCCATTTTAGCAACTTATATGTTCTTCAACCCGAGAAATCGTCACCATGAAATACTTGCGGTACGAATGAGCTGACGATCTTCTTAAACATCTTGCTCAATAATGCTACCTATATGAAAGTGTTGCGCATTCCTTTAACGAGCTGCCGAAGCTTTCATCTAACTTCATAGAACAAGATTCCTACTCATCTCGTTGTGTATTTTTGCAAATTTAACGAATAATCTCACCGTGGAATAGTTCCGACACACGGTGCTGTCAACGAGGTGCCCAGACGCATACGAATTGCTTGGAAAGGCAGAGTAGCAGGAATAGTGGCTTTTCTAGCCCTACATTAGAAACCAATGATTGGAAAAGTAAATCCTCTAATTTTAGCTCATGACCAAGTAATGAGATTTTACTCAATGAAAAAATTTTCTGCACTTCTAAGCACTGAAAAATGGCGACGTGTTACTTACCGGCTCAACTGCGCTGTGCGATGTTCTCGGCGTTTTGTGTGCTCTTCCCTCTCTGATATCTGAGAATAACAATTTAAAAAAACGGCTACCACAAAGCAGAAACTTACTTCGATCAAATAATTATGCGTGAGCTCACAACCATCAACACGACATGCAACGCGATAGCTTCCGGCTACTGATGGTGTCCACTCTCCTTCAAAGCTGAAAAAAAAATATTTCAGCTCAGTTCCGATATAACTGTCTCAGATAGATTTCTTAATTATAGAAAACTCACGTGCAGTTATTTTTGTGTTTCAAGCTGATCTTCTCTCTCACAACTGTAGCTTTAGTAAAACCCAAACGAATTTCTTCATAGGAGTAGTTCAGATAGGCAGGCATAGCAGAAACTGACATATAGCGACAGCGATTCATGAGCACTGGTTGGAACGGATTCTTCAAAGATTCTCGTCAATGAAAATTCAGCCGAAGCGTAATTTTACCATGGATAGATTTGACGTACCTTCTTGATGAGATCTAGTGAGGGCAAAGTCGCGGAGGGAAATCTTGTCGAGGCGTAGATGGAAGCATCGCCAGCTGTCATGGATACTTCAACGCACATGGAAGTGCACATCACTTCGCGATCAAACTGATCCTTGGTGGTAAGCCGAATCTGAAACAGAAGAATTGCATAGGAGTTTTCGCTATGATGAATACTATAACATAACGGATCATTTTTTGGAGGAAAAGGAGTGCTAAAAATAGACTTCTATGCAAGTTAGGCATGCTAACTGTTCCCTCCGGAAGCTTAGTACAACTATCACACAAAATAATTCGATTTCATTTATTTTCCTCTCAAAAAAAGAGAAATAAGTGCATGCATGTAAAAAATGATTTTGTACAAATTGCTGGCACAGTTTTAAGTTCACATAGTCCGGTTTAGGAAATTTTACAAGGACACTAACCTTGATCGCTTTGCCAACAGCCATATCTGTCTGCACAATGGTGAGCTGGCAACGTGCTGGATCTACTACCGGGCCTGAAGGTAGCCATCGTGCCAGAAAACCTGCAGTCGACGTTGAACATGCGGATAGAAATTCTCGCAAGAAGACGAGGTCTGTAATTTTGATGAAAATAACAGTGAAACTGAAAAATGATCGTTCAGAAGACTCACCTGGAGACTGTGCAGATGACGGCAAGCCCTTCTGTATCAACTCATTCAAAGTTGGAGCATGAGTAAGGCTGAGTCCTTTCTTCAGTAATGAGCCGTGTTTTTCCAGCAAGATTCTGGTGTCATCTTCAGCAGTGGACAGATGTGTTAGCGCAGATGCATCAGATGGGAGCTGAAAGGTAAAAATGAGCTGTGTAAAAAGTAAACTAAAGAGGAGCTTTTACCTGAACCATGACCCTACAGGCACTAGCCGACAACCAGGACAATTCTTGTTCGAGCCTAAGGTTTGACTCTTTCCGGGAAGCTGGATAACCGGTGACCGTGCATTGGAAACCATACATCTAAAAAAAGTAAAAACATCCTGTCGCTTTCTGGAGTGTTTACAGACCTGCTCAGCAGTCGCGCCATCTACTTCCACCGTAGTCTCCAGGATAAACCAGAGTGAATTGCCAGGGAGGAGAAGAGGTGTCGTGGGCCAATCTTTCGAGCCAAAATATCTTGAACATACAGTTACCTTCGATATTCCATAAATTATCTTACTTACCTTCCTATAGGAACATAGCTTTCCTTGTTCACTCCCATATATAGCCTAAGCTGGTCATCGGCTTGCGCGGTTTCACAAGATGGAGAAAACTGCAGGCAGAGGAAATGCACGCTGTCATCAAAGCCCACCACCTAAAGATAAAAACAATTATACACGACATATACAGATCAAAGATACTTCGCCTACCACGGAATAGACGTTGTTAGTCTTATATGGATGGGGACATTCCACGATGATTTGCGTAGTTTTTGCCTCGCAGATTTCCGAGTTGTGATCAAATGATTCACTGATAGTACTCGCCTTGACGGTCGCGTTCACGTTAGATATCATAGGAATAAGCTGCTCCAAAACACAAGCAATCTGAAATTTCTACATTTGTTTAAAACATGGTACGTCATAAAAGCGCACAGAATATAACTTCAATAAATTTATCTTAGAGAAATGTTTGAATACCGGTGTTCATCGAACAAAAATTCTAAAACTGGGAAAATTCAGAATACATTATGCTCAATACTGACCTCCATTGCTTTCATTGGGTGTAGCTCCATGAACACCATCACATGTCCAGCAATACGTGAGATCAGGGATCTGAACGAAAAATTATTTAATAAGTGTTTCATAACTGATAAAAAAGCCTTACCTTGCACACTGGGGAATGAGACCATTGACGAGAAATGCACCAATTTTGTTGGAGAGCAGACGAAGCAAGAGCACAAACGATTTATGGGTCTGAAATGGGAACAACGTTATTTGATTTACCAGCAAAAAATAGCATATTGCTCAAAATTTATCTTGAATGAAAATGGGCTGTACCCGAAAGATTCTTACCTCGTCTTTCGTTTGACTCGTGTCAACCTTTTCCGTCTCCACAATTGAGTAGAGAAAGAATGGTATTTGCCCTCGTTGTAACGAAGTTCCATTTTCACTCAATGGACAAGACGAGAACGTTACTCGAGCTCCATTATTGAGTCGAATATAATTCACTCCACCTGGAAAAAAAGATATTCGAAATTTGTAAGTCCTGATGTGGTATCCAAAATACGAAATTCACCTTCACCACAGTATGTCTTCCCATTTTCGGGTGTCCAGATCTTGATAGCGTACGTCACCCCAACTGCTAACGTTACTGACTCCGGCAGAAGAATTACACCAGTGTCTACAGCACCTCCACTGCTCAGCTCACAACTAGTCTTGCTCAACAGAGAAAACTGGTCTCCATCGCGAAGCACATGAACCTATAAGAAGAAAAAAATTAAGAGTGCTGATTGGCGAGGACCAGTTCTCACCTCACACTGCCAAGTCCTTCTTACTTGTTCCGCATGAAGATAAACACCAACACCTCTGAGCGAAATGCGTCCACCTTCGACTCGGATACAGATGGCGTCAGTTGCTCCTTCTGACATATCCCATGCACAGACAGCGCTTCTTCGGCGAAACCTGGAATTGTAATCAAAATGCTTTGATATCCTTGGGCTTCGACGTCATCACTGTGATTCATTCAAAACCCGTCCCTCTTTCCGTTCAATGCCGTATTATCTCTGGCATGAGATGCAGGATGACCATCACATCCAGCTCTACGTTAAACTTATGAGATAGCATCTCACATGCAACAATCTCAGCCCAATATTTGCCTGTTTTTTTTTTTGAATGGTCACCAAAATTTACACAACATTAACATAAGAGCGAGCTAAAAATCATATTATTTATCATTCTCCTAACTATGATGACTGCGCCTCCTCTGCGATATATGCAGTAGTTGCAATCTATCGCCATGCATTTTTGAGCAATGTCACAAACCTGGATAATTTTCGAGAATCTTCATCTTAGCATCAAAATGCGCCGGTTCGACAAGTATTATTGAGGAAAACCTTTTACTACATTTGGCTAGCTTAGATTATGTCTTAAATCAATTTGAGTTTTTAGTATGTTCCACAAGTTCGCGCCAATTTTTCACCCTTGAAAGAATGTTGGATAGAGATAGACATATGAACCGATAGTTGTTTGACGCATCATTTCCTCCTCTCCGCAATTACGTTTCTTGGTTTCTCTCGAATCATTTGATCGTCGAAATTTTAGATCTTTTTTATCACGTTTTATCAAAAAAATTTTCAAAGTTGCATTTAAGCCGTCGAAAGAGTTTCAATAGCAAGTAGACAGAGTAAGCAAAGTGCGGAATGATAAATCTAGATTTTTGAGCACTTCTTTGGTGTTTCCAGATAAATTTTTCATATGCGAGCCATCAGGTGCTTTAGAGTGATATTGTAAAAAAAGACTTTCAAGACGACATAATTTTAGTTCGATGAATTATGCACACTCCTTGGCCCGTCGCGGGAAACAATAAAAACTGTTTGGAACATATCATTCAAAAGAGTACGGCAGGTCCTACAAGATGGCATTCGTTCGACAAATGCGACACACATGAACTTTGGAATAGTAATCTCAATATTTCGAGGACCAAAAACGGATCTTCTTCAACAAAAAAAAAGAATATCCCACAAAGATCCAACGTGCCAAGAAAGTTAAGAATCGCATCAGCCATTCAAATGTATACTCGCTGTATTTTTCCATGTCCTGAAGTTGAAAAAACGAAACTTGGCAGCTTTAGGACAAAGCTGATAATAGCTGATTTGAGTAATTCTAACCATACAAATTTTTAATCAACATCAAAAATCGAAAAAAAGGTTTAGCCTTTGGTCTATTTTTATTTTCAAATCCCAGCAACAATTACGCATTAAGCAAGTGTATATACGAATACGATGTGGATAGTATATGAGCGACGAAGTTCCAGGTTCGCAGCACCTTTTTTGTCCCGTTTCGATTTCTGAGTTTTGTAATTTTTTGATTACTTCTCAACTTCACGTGGATCGAACTTTTGCGACTGTTTAAATGCTGCCTTGCAGAGCTTGCTTTGCTCTACCGAATTAACTTGTTTCTTTGTTCCAACGAATTTGTTTTACATCATATCTTTTCTGCCGCGGCAGGAGAAGCAACGCGCTTGATTATGCAACAACCTATTATATAGACTGACAACTAACTACAGGAAAGCATGTTCTGTTTCACTGCAGTTATATGAGAAGGATCGAAAACCAGTATTTGTTATGTGAGGTTACCCTCTGACATTCCAAGAATATGCATTGGTAAGGTAGTTACGATTATTCAAGTCTGACTCAGATGTTTGAAAGGTTGAAAAAAGTGAAAACGGCTTCCTCGTTCGCATGAATTGCCGAGCAGCTTCATTCTGTACAAACAAGATTTCAAAAAATCCACTGTTTTCTAACGCGCCATCTCTAAATTCCAAATTTGCAAATTTATGAAACCTCCCAACAAGGATGACTGCTGATAGGATGGATGTTACCATATTCCTATGAAATATTCTTTTTGAATACCAAGGGATAGATACTAAGTCGATCCAGACATTTGTGTCAAAACGATACAGTTTATCTTGATTTGGAACACAAAAAACGTGCATTAACTTTCTATTAAAAGATCTTCTAAAACCATTATGACCACACATTTACCATACCGCCTAACAATGAACATCTTTGCCTATGGAGCGTCACATTTACCATTCGCAAACGGCAGGATTGACGTAGTATTATCTTCTTGTAAGACAAGAAAGAATCCAACAAGCAAGTAGATCTATGTTGAATGAACTGACCTTATAGGCGTTTGCACGATGGTGCTCGCTAGTGACTTGTGGACATCAGGAATGGCCAGCTCCTTGGATAGTTTGACAACTATGTCTTGCGCGATGTTTGCCACATTCCAGCAATCCTGAACTACTATGTTGAGAACGATCTAATGAAGTTTGGGCGCAGAACTCACGCTTGACTCGCTGAAAGACTTCTCATAAAGGAACCGTAGAATATTTGGAAGCGTTGTGAGAGTGTCTATCTGCTGCTGTTCCATTGTAAAATGCTCGCCGAGTTGCTTAGCCAGATGTGGGAACGTGGCAAACTCGGTTTTGTGCAAAAAGACATCCACAAGCTGGAGGAGGTTCTATAGCATATTGGGAAGATTGCTGTCAAAGACTCCAAACCTTCTTCCTTTTGGCTATGCTCCCCACCACAGCCGCAATTAGTGGATGGCCTATTGAGCTGGAGATAGCAAGTGCTAGGTGGCAGACGAGCAAATGACGTGAAGGCATCAAGCAGGACGAGATATCAACGAACAGATTGATGGCCTCATTTAAGACAACGGATAAGGCAAAGTTCTGTAATAAGAAAATTTCAGCTTGAGGTCGCCTACTTCCGAAACGAACCTCTTCCAAAATACAATCATTCGCACGATCAAATAGCGATAACAGTGCCGAATGTAGTAGAACGACAGCATCAGCAAAAGCCGCGGATGGTTCATCACCCTCACTGCTGTTATCGTAAACAAGAAGAACGTATCTGCTGAAACAAATTTTTTTGAAATATTGTATGAGCCGTTAAAGATTCGGTTAAAGTACCTCAGTATCCGCATGACTATCAATGATGTCGCAGCTGCTCGTTCTGTATTCCATAATCGCTGATCTCCTTCGCAATGGAATTCAAAGACGCGAGAAAGAGACCAGTCCAGAACCCGAAGAAGTGCCAGAAAGGCGCATGGTGATACTGTATCCATGGATGTGGATGAGAACAGCCTCGAGCTCGCGCTGGAAGTAAAGAATTCACTGTCTGCAGAAGTCATGATTTAACTAGCAAACTCACTAATCATCCGGCTTTTCATCATCACTTGATGCTCCTTCACCAGAAGATGACACTACCTAAATGAAGCAAACATCCATAAGACATTTAGAGTTTTGGAGGCTTCACCAGCTTGCAAAAATTTTGATATTCTGTTCATGAAACACCTTTACAGCAGCCATATCAAGCAGGACATTTGTCCAAAAAAGGTTATTTTCAGGCTGCTAGAACTAAAGTTAACATCCTAGACAAGTGATAGCTTATTTGGCCATGAGAAAATCTAAAACATTGAAAGAACTTTTGGATTGTTTTATCATATTGCAGCAAAAAATTCTCAGCTCTGTAATTTGCAAAGACCATAACTCCCAAAAATGTTAAATTGGTAGAATTCTGTGAAAAAGCAGCAAAGTTATACCTGATAGTATAATTCTGGGATTTGTCCAACATTCACATCGGTTCCGTTGTTAGATATGGCGGAGTTTCGAAACGTGAAGACCACGTCATCGCATTCCACAACACGACGACCCGTAGCTCCACAGTCAGATGAGGGACCACTACAACAGAAAAGGTAAGCTGTTCTTTGAGCAACATAAATCCCTTCTCGCTTACCTGATTTTGGCGCTGACAACATGCCAGTGATTCGCTTTCACCAATACAGGTTGAGCCAACATTAGTGCAGCAGTTTCTCTTTGGCCGCAGTCGTACAAGGTCTCATCGGACTCTGACAGAAGTTCAGCACACTGCTCATCTGAGACGTCACTTGGAAGACGAAAGAGCTTTATCCTGAGATAGTATCCAACTGTCTGGGCATTCTATCAATGTCACTACTCAATATATGGATGAATACTTACTTTGCAATATACTCGCCACGTCCTCCATATAAGCCAATGCCTAGCAGTCGTATGTCTTTGCTTGCTTTCACCTGTATAGCTTCTATCGAATGGGCAGAGTAACCCCAACCTGAAAAATGTTTATTTTTGAGGAGCAGCAGCGCTGTTCGGGACATGAGTGAAGTGAGACAAAAAGACAAGTTTTGGATCAAAAAATATCAAAAAACTTCAAAGTTCACCTCCTCCTGTTGATTCAAATCGACAAACAACTGATCGTCCGCCAGATGGTGAGGCTGCATGATCAGGTGAGTTCAGAAAATCCTGGAGTTGCTTTTTTTCAGTAAAATAACTAAGTTACTCGCTCATGACTGGCATAGTACCTTCTCGTTCCACATTTTTCCCTTTGTTATTGTAGCAGCAGCATATGTACAGCTGAGCAATGAGATGCCCAACTGGGTAGAAGAGCAATGTGTAGGACTTTCTAGAGGCACAGCCCATTCTGGTGATCGTAGAAAAGCAAGCGAATCCATGCGATCGGAATGTATCTGAGAAAGTATACATAGTCACAGGTATTCTGTTTGTGCAAAAAGAGAACAATACTTACCTCTTTTGGAGTGGCTAAATGTACAGAGTAAGCTTGTACTCGCATTTCAGCAGCATTGTACGACCATAAGATGTCATATTGAGATTCCAAGCACCAACTAGATATGACGATGTATTAGGTGATAAGAAATAAGTCCTGAATATCTCGAGCACAGACCTTGTGTACAAACCAGAGGGACCAAGCTGATGATGTGCAAAATATCCATTTTTCCTGCGGATGGCGACATATTCCTTACCAACTTGACGTGGGAAGATGAAGAGATCATACTGAAAATAATTGCATACTACGATTTGTAGAGGAAAAAAAGAACTAATGAATAGTAATTCCATGGGAGAAGAAATGAAACGAGAAGGCAGAAGGGAAGCGTGGAGGAGAGGGGAAGAAAAAAGCTCCATCCACAGGAATGTGTCGTGGAATTTTGAAAGCTCTACATGTGGCACGTGTAAGCGTTTCTATTGACGAATAGGAGGATAGTCTCCAAATTTTTGACAGAAGAAATCAACTGTGAAAACATTTTTTGGAGCGTAATCTCAGGCATGCCTCTTTTCTCAGAACCTCAGCACTGTCGCCAAAAATATAAAGTGTCGCAGAAGAATTAAAGAACGTGGCCGAAGCCACGATTCTATAACTGAAAAAGATGTCGCATGGGAAGAAAGTCACGAAAAAATTCCACTGGTTTGAAGTTCTAAGAGATCCCATTCTCAACACTCTCAATGTGATATTCGTAACTCAGTGGTGGTCTGAGAAATTCCTTAACCAGTGAGGGGCAAACAGAAATTTTTCTCGAATAGAGGGAAATAGCGATTTCCAAAAAGCAATACTCTCCAAATTTTTTGCCGGCATAATTCTGAAAATCTGGAAAGAATGCGTGGTGTCAGTCTCCCCACCCCTCCCCCATAGCCCCAAAAATTTTTTTTTCACAACGCTAGTCTCATTTGCTTGCGAAAAAAGTCACCTGCACAGTTTTATGACCCTATTCAGATCTATTTTCAGAATTTCGTTGCGGCTGGCTGGTGATTCTAACTGCTATCCTCACCTTACTAGCCACCAGCTGGGCGTCTATCACATCATCAGAGTGCAGCAGTGATGTATGGCTATGAATGAGAGTAGCATCCCCTACAGCTCCTATCCAAGTAGCGAATGATTCACATCCCGGGCCAAATCCTGGCACTCGGCCTGGAGTTGCGTGCCAATGGCTCTCATCTTCCGCCGGCCTTGCAGAATAAAGAGATTTAAATATTGAAAGAAATGCCAGTAAGTGCAGCTTCAAAAGAATTCTCTGCTGGATACCTGAGTAATTGTCCCATCTTATGCGCTCCAAAAGTGAATACTGCTCCTAAAGACGTCCGCAGTACGGTATGATTAGCCCCAGCGGCTACTTGTACGACTTGCACATCAGCTGGTAGTACAACCTAAAATATGGTGTATAGTCGAAAAAGAACTTGCAAAAACAACAAAGAAAAACGCACTAGTTGAGGTTCTGTTTTACTTCTAACGTCTCCTGTACCCAGTTGCCCATGGCAGTTCGATCCAAAGGCGAATACACTTCCATCAGCAGCCAACAAAATCGTGTGAAAATTTCCGCAACTAACCGATGAGACCTGAAAAAATTTTTGCGACTTGAGAGCACAAATACATGGATTCTAACATTACCTTCACGTTCACCTGATTTTTGACTATCGTCACTCGAGCTGGAGCAAGATGAGTTCTGGTTGGCGTGTCACTGGATGGCCTTGGCTGCTGCTGAGAAGATTCACCACAAGCACGGCATAAACCACACCTATCAAATACTTTTGTGAAAGCGACCGGAAAGGAGTAGTGTGTAAGGACAACCTCAAGCAGGTGGTATCACCCGGTCCACAAGTGCATGTTCCAGTTTTCCTCGTAAAAGCTGGTAACGGACAAGCGGCACCACGAGCGGAACAGAGACCGCACTGCGCACAATATGATGGAATATCCTAAATTAGCAAAGTTAGGAATGCCCTCGAAAAATTATAGAAGCAGATAGTACGAAACCTTGACAAATAGATGTTCTGAAGGTTCACAAGCAACAACCGAACCGCGTCTCCGAGGTGAAGGCGTTAGTGTTGTTGGTGCTTGCTGAAGCGATGTTAAAGTTGTTAGAAGCTGTTGTGAAGCATTTCAAGCTACTGCGAAAAGCATTCAAAGCTGAAGTATGGGTGCCTTCTTACCGCGCCCACAGCCGCCGCTAGCCGCCTTTGAGCACTATTTCATTACCTAGATCCCAATATCGAAAGCACAAATCTTGCTCAAACTTGGTGTAGTGCAGTTACTCGTCATGTTTATTACAGTGTGAAGGCCGAATACTGGGAAAGTGCACAAAAGCGGCTAAAGGCGGCTAGCGGCGGCTGCCGGTGCGGTATGAAGGCACCCTATGAGGTCAGATGCGTTTGAGATGAGCATAAGCATGCATGCTTTCTGCACGCAGAATTCGTAAGGAAGCTGTAGTTGGAAAAGGTCGCTTTCATTGGGTAAACCAAACCCAATCAAATTGCTAACAAGGAAAGGATACTTGGTGATGGCCTTGAAATGCGATGTATACCGTAAGATGCACCTCGAAACTCTAATACTAAATCTGTGCCCGATATCTGCGAAACGATCTTCTGAAGGAAGTTATAAACTTATTAGAAAATCTGCGTATTGTTGGAGTCGAAATCACCAAATTTGTTCTATGTTACTCTTTGAAGCTATTGAAGTTAATCTTAAAAGGATTACTGTTGTATTATACCTATCTAACTCGTATTCAGCATTTGAAAAAGAAAGAAAAATTTTATTGATAATTTGTCCTTCCGCAGTAGCTCAATTTATTCATGAAAAAAAATAATCATAACTCCATCCGGGTTGTCGCTTCGCAGATATGGAAGACAGTATTCGAACCAGCATTGAAAAACGCATTTTTTTATATACAAATCATTAATGGCCACGGTCACCAAATCCTTCCCTTAAAAGAAAGACTTGCTTGCGTCATTTTGATCAGCATTACTCATCCCTATTTTGCATTAGGTTCTAGCCTTCGATCATAAACCCAGCGTAATTATAAGAAAATCTCTAGCATGCGAAAAGAGTATCACTTCTATGAGCTATGTATAATCATCAAAATGCATTTGTATGCGAAAGCACAGCTTCAGATGACCCCGTGTGCAAAATTTTGCGAAATATGCGACTTTGGTTTTTTTGATTCCCTAGTACGAAATATACTCAATGAAGCATATCCAATTACCTCAGTTCGTCCACACTGGTTGAGATTGTTCAAACCCCAAGTATATACATATCCTTGCTTTGAAATCGCTACAGCGTGAGTTTTCCCAAGAGCTATTGATGCCTAAATATCATACATCAAATTCCGTAACCATGTGATTGATCACAGCTTACCATATGCGTCCCATCTAACCCTAAGACTTGCCCAGTTTCGGGGTAAACACTCATACCATGTCGTCCCCCTACATATACCCGTCCATTATCAGTGACGTAAGCATAGCTCGAGGCTGCACTACTGATTGATAAAGTTTTACGCCTAAAAGAAATTTTTTAAAGATGAAGGAAAACAGTTTGGACTAATTTACCTATTTACAGTCGTCAGTCGCCTCAACTTGCCAGCCCTTCGTCCATCATCACCCCCAGCGATCCATGCATGACCACTACCCGCACGAAATAGAACATATTCGATGCCTACTGACATTTGTACTATACTTTCTGGCAATACCAGCTCCATCCATGTTGTACCGGTTTCCTGCAAGGATATATTTCAGAGGAAAGGGAAAAGCCATTCGGCCAACTTATCCGCAGAAGCGGTACCTGCAATCCATATCTGATTCCATTTCCAGCATAGTAAATTTTCCCAGCACGCGATTGTAAGAAAGCGATATCTTTTCCAAGATGTAGATCAGCAGCTTGATCTGAGACGTAGTCATATTTAGATTGATGTGCTTCTCCAATGCATCCTTATTAAATAACACATATTTGTAACATGAACCTCCCCCTACTTGAACAAAACCACAGCACTTCTATTGCTATGCTGTGGCTTGTGCCAATTTTCAACAAAACAAGCTAAACAAGACGGGCCTTAAACACATAAAGTATAGTTCACATCAGGATCACGGCCAAAATCAAACGACCCAAATATGCCCAAACCTGGGTCTTTGTTTCAAAAATTCTACGAGCCTCCCACTTGCCCGCGCGTATACAAGGTGGCCCAAAAAAAGGTAGACACTGCTTGATCATTAATAAGTCGCTTTCTTTGCCTTCTTTCGCCGATGTTTGAGCACGTTTTGTGGAGCTTGCTTCAACTTAAATTTCGCGATAAAAAAAACAGATCTCCAATCTTCCTTCATTACTGTAGGAATACGGTATGAACATTCGGCGTATAGCGTCATTGTGAAATGCGCACCTTGCTTAAAAAAAATCAAAAATCTATAAAATTAGGTAGCACGGTTTTCAAGCATGCTGACTTCATTGCACAGCTTTTTACAAGTCTGGGCTTTTTAGTGGTGCAATTTCATTTTTGGAGACCAGTAGAAAAGCAATTACTACGATTCTCCCTACATAACTTACGAAGCGAGCATGATTATGAAGTGCAAATTTCATGCTTGTAGAGCTTTAGTTGTATAGTACAGAGTTTTTGGCTTGTTTGTTTTCCATTTTGAAGCAAAATGCGACCCTCAACGGCTCAAAACCTTCTTCGAAGTCACTATGGTAATCTTACAGTAACGAAGAAGGATCAAAGATTCGCTCCCTACTGTAAACCTAAATAAAGCCAGCTCTACAAAATATTTTCAGGTACAAAATAGTAACTAAAAATCCTCAAAGGGCGTTGAAACAGAAGAGTTATTAACAACACTGTGCACCTCTTTTTAAGACCTGTACCACACGCACATTAAACAAAATTGCCGTGTTTTCAAGACTGAAATTCATAAAGGGTTTCTCTCACATACGTGTTTAGGTAGCTCAAATATTCAAAAGTACAGCCATGAATTCGTTCGTATTCTTATGGGTGCTCTAGATTTTGAGAGACATCAGTGCAAGTGTTTACGCACGAATTATGAAGTCGCTCTCAAAGATGAGAAGGTATAACAATGGAGCTGATATGTACTATTACTACTCGTAGTTTTGATACTAGTACTTGAATGATGTTCGGAAAAGATTTGTAGTTTGCGCAAACAAGTAAAGGTGATTCTTCCTCAGTTTTTTATTTTTGGAACAAAATCTTCAAAAAGAATAAAATGAACTGTTTGTAGTAGAAGGTTTGTGAACTTTGTGTGCTCGAAAACAAGCTTACATGATAGAAATCAATGAAAAAAGACGTAAATTGCGCACGCCTAAGAACTTGTGAGTGGATTTGTCAAGTACGAGATGTGTATGAAAACTCACTGTGTAAGTACTTTGGTATTGTGAGCGGAAGTTGATAAGGCATAGCTTTTGTATCTCCCACACAGCAGAATGAAACATCAGTGAGACGCACGGAATGACGAGATTTTGCTTCGGCTATAGGTACGAACGAGTCATTCAGAGGTATCAACTAAATACAGATGCATAAGTTATATTCACATCAATTCACTCTACGCTAAAATCAATGGCTCACATGCAGCGTCGATTGTGAGGTAACAGAAGCGTGATAAAATGATGACCCATCCGAAAATAATGCTGTTTGTACGCAATCTGTTGGTAAGATAACCTAAACATATACAGTTTTGGCAAATTTTGCACCCAATTCTACTATTTAGGTAACTTATATAAATCCTATGTACTCACTTCTCCGATGTCCCTCAGCGAGTCGGTATCGATTACGGATATACATGATGATTGCCCTCTACGTAAGTATAAGGATCCGTTGCAAAAAGTGAGCAAACAATTCCTTCTGAAAATTTTGATTACAATACTCATCACACCACGGAAGAAAAAATAAGGAACGAAGATTACAAAAAACGTTCCACAGGATTTTCTATGGCACGATTTCCTTCTAGATCCCGATAATACCAGCGAAGATAACCACGCCCGTAGTTTTCTCCCCTGCGAGCGATGAGAGTGAGACTTACGTCGCTTTGATGGAACCATTGGCAGCATATAACTTTCCCAGCACAGTCTCTTGCAGACCCGATCCTATCTTGTAAAAGCCAACGTAATTGAGTACGTAGACGTACATCCCTAAAGTACTGAGTTTTGGTAATTAGAAACAGAAGTGATTCAAAATTTAAGTCTTTTATCTGACAAAAACGACTGCGGTCAAGATGGCGTTCCATTAAGTTTTACATTAATGAGGTCAAATTTTATTCTTCACATTCTAAAACGAACGCAGCGAATTTACAAGGTAAGTGAGTTACTACTTTACAGGGCTGATGCGAACCACCAAATTCTTACAGGCAAGTCGGAACCTTAATGAGCCCAGAAAATGTTACACCGCAAAGAAAAAGTCGTAAAGATATGCTGGATCCTGTTTTTGTCTGTGAATCGCAACCTAGCTACTTAGCTTGCTGAATGCTGCTAAAGATAATTGCGAACAAGATATCTGAATGTTATTTGGCAACTTGTGCAAACCCTTTGTAAGTCAAGCAGAAAAATGCTGCCATAAATTCTTTCTTGAACAGTAAGTTAGTTTCATCCAGCGTCTGAGTCATGATCTCTTTTTTAGAATTCTTTGATTTAAAAATTCTAGTGTATTAAACGGAAATGAAATTGAAATTACCGTCGCAGGCTATCGAGCCTTGAAGCCTCATGTCATCGTCAGGTGTTTCACAAGGTGAGTCGTTAGGTAACGTTGGTAAATCAAAGCTACACAGCACCCTGTGTTCGTCTAATGGACGTTCAGACCAAGAACTGCTTCTAAATTGGTTGTCTCAGATAAGAAAAAAGAGCATCGACAATTGATGTCCTTACCCGGTTTCAACTCCTTTGTGTGCTTTATTTTGAATTTTAACGCTAAGTCTATGTAAGTTGCCTGGTACTTGGAGGTCATCGTAAGATGAGTCTGTGCTCTGAAATATTCAAGCCATGCCATCAAGAAAAACATTCATTGCTTTTATGCATATGGGAAGATGAAACTCTATTTTTGATATGAAAGATTTCATTTTGATATTTCTTATGTAGAAGTCCCCGTTTCCGTATCTTTTATAAACTGAATGAAATACTGACCAGTGAAGAGATGTTGAGAATCGATGTAACAGCTACCTGAGGTTCATTTCGCTGTGTACAAATAAGGGCATCGACAGCTTCCATGAGATGGTCGGGTAAACCGCTACAGACAGCTAAAGCAGCCAGACAGCTGGAGGCACGAGAACATACCGATGGAGGTCCTAGGGTGAGAAAATCGTAGACGAGAGACCATAAATAATCTTTGAAGACATAGTTCAGACATATGTATCAGTGTTTCTTATATGGAAAGTGGCCGGAAAATCTTGTAAGCCGTTGCTCATGCGGCATCTCATATACTCTTAAGCCGAAAAGTTCAGCTCTGAACCAACCCAGACCGTACTTTCTACCATACTCGGTAACGTCGACGGGTCAACTCGGGACTTGAAAAATCCACGTACCTTCTTTAGACAGTACCTTTAAAGGCACCGTCTACCCAAAGTGGTTCACGAGATTCGATGGCATACTAGTGTGGGCCCCCACACTAGGCCAACCCCCAGGTTCCCCGCAAAAGATTGCTTCCGGAGCGAGAAACCCGCTCTGGAAGGAACGTATCTCCGGAGCTGGTCACTCCACCGTCACTCCGCCCATTTTGCAGGTTTGGCGGGCTGTGGCGCTGATATACGTCGGGCATATAACAGTGCCGCAGCCCTGCGACTTGCACCTGCACCGTCCGTCAGGTTCTCCAAAACGGGGATTTTTGGAGGTTTCGTGATTTTTCAACTCCATATTGGAGATCAGGGCCTTCAGAAGGCCTGTAACCGACAAAAACATGGAAGAAGAACTTGGGTAGACGGTGCCTTCAAGGATGGAGAAAAAACTTACCCTCTTCCCTCAGATTTCGCAGCACTTTCATCATCGATTCTACAGAGGGCTTCGGTTCGCTACGTAAGCTATCTACTGGCAGGTTCTGTAAACCACAAAGATGAAGTGCTAAGACATGCTGAACTCGAAAACATCTTTGAATTAGCATAGATCCACCACAAACCACAACTTTACCTGCAATAAAGCCATGAGTGAGTTCAAAGCTTGTACGCATAGCTCTGGATCTCTACGGCTCAACTGTCGTAAGATGTCGAACACACAGGACATACCAACGCATACTAGTTGATCAGTCTAAACATAGTGGTATGCATTGAAAAACAAGCCTTTTTATTTGATCAGATCCCATGGCCGTTGTTTTGCTCGATGCAAAAAGCAGTGACTTCCGCCCGTTTTGCATGAATAAACCCATCAAGAACTTTACTTTTAACATAATACATCATTATGACGACTTTTTTTCAGAGCAAACTAAAACGTTCGTGATTTTCAATCCATAAATGAAACGCAAAGAGCGAAAGACATTATTGTGAACTTCACACGATTTTTGGACTTGACACTTTTTAAAACCCTCTGCGAACGATCGGTCTTTGAACAATTAGCGTAAAGGCCTAAATCTATCAGATTGTTTTGATACTTTATTTTTTTGCAAAAATTAAACCGTCAATTGCAAAGATTCTTCCTCTAGTCTGACAAATAGTGTTATTTACTATTTACTAGTCATATTACTAGTCATATTGCTGCTTCGATTCTGCTGGTATTGAAGTTTTCACTTGTAAAAAAGCCACTATTTCAGTGAACCTTATTTGCTGACTAATCTCACACTTTCAAGGAATTCCTGTGTATAAACGTGCAAAACTCTTGCTACCGTATTCTAGGCAAATAGCCCACCTTGGTGTTATCACTTCTTTCGTCCCTATCACGGCCGTTGTCTACATGATGCGACTCGTCGACGCTGTCCACCGTCTCCTTCTTTTCCAGCAAATCACCATATCTAGAAGAATTCGAATAATAGCTTCGATGTGCTTGAACCTTCCTATCATAGACATCGAATATGTATAAGTAACTCACTTTGCCAGCAATGTCTTTGCGATTGCAATGGTCGCAAATGAAGAAGGTGGTCCGACAACATGTAATGCAGCACACAGCTCGGACGAAAGTTGTGGAAGCTGGCCAATCTCTGAAAGTTCTGCATACATGAAAAAAGATTGAGCGGATTTAACTCGCTTATTTTAGAAAAATAAACTCATGGATTTGAAGGAAACTGAAAAAAAATTAAGATTAAGCCTACTTGTACAGAATATCAAGGTTGAAGAGAAATTATGCAAAAAAATTTCGATGCAACTTAAGCGCCGGTGCTACGGATTGTGATTGGGATCTCACCATGAAATGAGCAAGGACGTGTTTTATCAAATTCTTTTGCTCTTACATACTAACCGATTATTTTCCCTCAATACATTTGTTCAAGAGCCTGGATAGAAGAACTTCAGAAATGTGAAGAGACTTAACATATTTTCTGCCGTGGAAAATTCGGCAACTATCGTTACAGTAACTTAATCATATCATCAGTGCAGAAACATCAAAAATCAGTGACGTGCTATGCAGTATTAACTTCGCAGCATACATGCAAAAGATTGACGTCAATGAGGGGCGTTCAGAAAGCATACAGCCATAGCCTTATTGCTAAAACGACTACGTGCAAATAGGAGAAGAGACTAGTTTCAGCAGGATCCGAGATTTAGGCTCAAAACGCTAATTTCAAAAAAAAGCATCTATTACAGCATCTATTGTTGTTCCAGGAGATTGATAGGAAAGCAGTTCTTATTTGGTGGTAATTGGTTACTTTTCGTTCAAAACTATTAGCATTGCCTCAACTCAAAATATCATTAAATTTTGAAGCCATCTTGTTTGCGATATAACTATTCACAAAAAATTGAATTAATTATTTTGACTGTCTTATAAAGGTGGAAAATCCAATTAAAGTCACAAGGAGGAGATTGGCAGATGTTTACTGAATTTTGATATTTTGGATAGATGCAAAGTTTAGAGCTCCTTCAACATTTCTTGAACTTTTTATACTTTTCATAAATCAAGCTCCTTTCGGAATGCTTATTCATAGAGGAAGAAAACATCAAAGACCCGAAGAAGTCTAAAATGAGCAAGAATGAAGATAAGCGAATTTTCAGGCTGATAAAGATGTGTTTCTAGGCTCTTCCTTATTCCAAAACGCACCTTCTGTCCTAGTCACTAGGGTCAAAAGGAAGCAGTATACTTTGTTCTATAAGGAAATAAAAGACACAAAAACTAAGAGACTAATGAAGTGCACGATAAACCGATCGCACTTTTTACTAACATCACAGCGATGAGACATGTCTCATCTGTCAAAGTAGACAGAGCATTTCTTTGAAGCAATGTACATTTCAGTGATCTATAGGAATGAAAAAAAAGGGGGAACAGAGCAGAAGTTACAAATCTGTGACATACATACCGGACTGAGAATCCTCGGTCTCTTTAGACTGAGGTACTCTGAGAATACAGCCCTTTGTTCGTATCGGATAATACTTCTTGATGAGTTGTCCATACTGTTCCGATATCAACTGAGACGGCGATGGTGCACTTGATGTGGAAGGCGAGCAGTCACGGGGGACGAGTTCTCGAAGAAAATACGACATAATAGTATCTATACCATCCTGAAAACACTATTAAGTTCAACATACCGAATCTAATATATGGCGGGATATCCGTACAGCTCGGAGGAATCGTTAAATTTCAAGAATCAAATTCAGATGGTGGAAGAACACAAAGGTGAGCAAACACACATGTTTGCAATATCAGACTCTTTATGAAAAAACCACCGCGCCAGGACTAGAGAGGTGCTTGTGTTAGAGCATATCTTAGACAGATATTTATTGCTTCCGCTGCCATACAAGATCGATGAAAGACATGAATACATGATGCGTTATCGGCGGAAGATTTGAATAGTCACATCGATCAAAAAAAAGTCTTTAAAAGGTAACAGTAGAGTTGATGCGGCAAGAATATATATCTAAAGGAAAAAAGCGCAGGATATTTTGTTAAAGAGTTCACCGCCTTTCTAACTCTGAAATGAAAATGTGAAAAAGACATAAAAGTACGGGTAGTAAACTGTTTTTAACATAATTTAGCACCTGGTCAGAACCGAAAGCAATTTGCCCAATATATTTTATACTACAGCATTCATGTCAATCTATTTTTAGCACCAAAATCACTTCTTAGATCCCTCTAAGAGATACGCGATCAACAAGCGTTTAAAGTAAAGCTTTTTCTTCAAAGCCTTAGTAGTTTTCCAAATGCGATTTTAGGGCCAGGAGGGGTCGCGAGCGACTGCTCAATGGCTGCATTGGAGAAGAATGCTCAAGAAAAACTGTATACTTTCAGACAGACAAGATTTTGAGCATATAAGGAAGATAAGCAAAATAAGTGAGAGATAAAAGGTCAACCTGAATACGCTAATGATCAGAAGGACAAGCATGGCATGCTAAAGCGAAGTGAGAAAAAATTAGTCATCTAATAACCAGAGGAAAATGAAATCCATGCGAGCAACATAGGTAAAGACTAAGTAACTTTGAACACCAGAATTGTATCAGCAAATAAAGAGAAAATGTTGGAAACGGACAGAGCTCTCAATTCAGCTGTATGAGGAAGCCTTTTCATGAGCTTAGAAAAAGGAAAGACTCTAAATTTTCAACAACGAAACCTTTATAAGCTGAAGTCTTAGCAGTTATGAATGTGGAGCAAGTGTGCAAGCACATATTACTTTTGAAGCCAATCTTGCTGAACGCACGAATAATTGCTTTTGAGAAATGAGATTTGGAATAAAAAGTACATCCGCTCAAGAGGCACTCAGACTATCGAACTATGCATGCCTACAAGGGGAATTCATTGTTCAAATCTTTTGTTCGTCTATATGTCCTTGTGAAGAAAAATAGACTGACTCTTTTGTAGTGGGTACGCTTGATTTGAGCGCAATCTTAAAGAGGAGTGCAAGATCATCGAATAATCGTCAAGGACGGACGTCAAAAGTTTGCTGCCTTTGAAGATACGACATGAGATATGAGCTGAGGTTATGCAAACGCTGATTTGTGTGAGCAAAGTGTGGATAGCACCAATCTCACATTCAGCTGGTGCAATTGCACATTTTTTTGGATCCTTCATACTAAAGGCAGTTTCTTCTCAAGCGAAGTGTAACAGAGAACTTTGATTTTTCTATGAAAGCTTTTTTGTTTTAATATTCAATATTCTGCTTTCTGCCTCATCTAATCTCACATCAGAGCAGATAATGTTTTCGACTGAATACGTTTCTTATTCGTTTATGGTAGGACTTCCAGAAAACTCTACATGCTCTAAAGATAATTCAATTAGTGAAAAAAAATTAACATAATGACTCTCTAGCGTCACAGCTAATCTCTCGGGTGTGAAAATTGTGCAATTGCACCAGATAACTCTTAAACCCTCGAAAGAACGGAAATCACGCTTCAAGAAGCCTGAAGTTGGTCGTAAAATGTTGGAATGGTACTACATATACTATACCATGCTTTTCAAATTATTTATTACTGTTGTGATGGAGTCTGACCACCGCCCTAAGAAGCTCTTAGCTATAGGACATTTGAAAAATCGTGACAGTGGCGCGACCGCGCGCGACACGCACGCCACTTCCGGAAATCGCATTTCTTGGTTTTCATCTCTACTCGAATGCTTTTGTTGCTCACGTATGATAACATTTAGACAGTGGAAATAACTGAGCTGAATTGGGGTGATACCTTCGTGTATGAGCGTTTTATGCTCATGTGGGCACAAAGTCCGCAAAGAAATCAGTCGTCACGATTTTATAAATGAACTATGAATAACAGCTATTGGAACTGTTATATAAATAGTATTGCATTTGCCTGTCAAACATTTTTTCACCACGCTATAGAGGCAAAAAGCAATAAAAACAGCAAAAAACCTCAAGTGATGTGATGGTCTGGAGCTGGGAGCCGAGATTTTAAAAATTGTAATGATCGGTACCACAGGAAGTTTGTCCAAGATCTTGGCTGTGGCTTGTATTGACGAAAAAAAGCGATGGGCAAATTCTCATGCGAGAGCCATCAAAGATGAAGGATGCAATAATGAGGCCGTATGCTCACACGATTATGAGTGGCTGCTGTTTTTCAATGCACGAATATGCAGAGAGCGACAGCGCGAAGGGCGCGACACAATTTCGGGGCAGTCATAATGAGTGCGCGTTTAATATGGTCATTACGAGATGGAGATTTGACGAGAGTTGATTGGCCATTTTTACTGAATCTATAGATCTGCCCATATGGCTATGAGAATTTCACTTGTTAGTTCAGACCTTCGAAGTCGACAGAGTTTGCCCAAGTTTCCGTTTCTCCTCCTGAAGTTTTTATATTGCTCAGCGACTGCTTTTGACACTCCAATGTTATGCAAAGTGACGTGCTCAGCAGTTCGAATGCAAACAAATTAGCTCACTTATTTTACAACCAGTCCAAAGCGCCGCTTCGCGGCGCTTTGGACTGGCTGTGTGTGTGAAATGGGAATGTGACTGGGATAGAACCCCGGAAGATTTGTAGCGAACCTTTTCCTCTCCAAAAGTATGACACGGATTCAAACACGTGACTCCTAGAAGTTACGAAAGTCACGGATTTTTCCTGCTGTCGAAAATTTCGAAAATTTTCTTATCAAAAATGGCAACAGAATTGAATGCTCCCCTCCCAGCTTCTTCTAACAGCACCGCCACTTCCTTTGCTCGCAGAGACACGACTACAGATACTTTATTTACAGATAATATACAGATCTCGAATGTTGTATAATCTTTTGCTGTCAGAGTCTTTCGAGGATTCCCCCGCCCCTCAACTCCTTTGCACCCAGTAGCTTCTCAATCAAAGTTCCTGAAGTACGATATCTTCTCGCGATCTCACAGTCTTCGGTTGTAACTTAGATTTGGGGGCACTTCAAAAATTGCCCCCAAATCTTGTTATTTGAAATGTTTAGCCTGATCACGATTGAGACAGACTTAGCGCGAGTCCTCCATTCAAACTTTCACACGTAAAAAAACGTAACTTAATTTTTTGTGATGAAGCGCCCGTCCCAAATCCGACAAAGTAATCCCAGTCATGTTCATCCCACCCGGGGCACTGTTTCCCACACTGATAACCCTCCAAACTGCCTTAGAGCCTCCACCCAAAAACTCTATTCAGACTATTTTTATCTCTTTCCGAAATTAAATTAGCAAGAAAATTCGAATTGATGTTCTTGAAAGTATATAGCCAACATTAGAACTACCAAATCTAGAGTTTTTCAAATTCGAACATTCCCTCTTTCTCTTCGCAGAATTTCTTTTTGAAAGCGTCACAATTCCTCTCCCACTTCAAGATATTTCACTGTCAAAACTCTCGTTCGCGTTTTATGAGGTTCCCAAAGTGTCCAGCATCTTTGCAAATCCACTCACTTTTCAGGTTATCTTATTGAGCAATCTCAAATCCTTGAAGGGACCTACTTAAAGGTGTTTATGTTCCTAGCTGGCTCACCTAGGCAGATCTTGTTTCTTACACAATTTTGAGGTAGTGCGATATTTTGAAAAGCTGCGCTGTAGGTTAGTAAAGCTTTAGTCTATGTAAAGCCAATTTGCATGTCACCTTGTCTCTTATTCGTATCTGAGAGACTAAGGCACATTCACACAGCTTATAGTCCTGATAAAATCAATCACGATCGCATTGATTTCTTACTACATTACTCTTCGTATTTTCAATGTTTGAAGGAAAACATGGGAATTTGAAAGTAGTTCCTTTAAGGTTTACTCTTTCTTAGCTGAAGAAAGGTTTTCCATCCTTTTATCGAGTTTCAAGAAAATTCGCATGATTACACTGCATTTGTTCGGAAAGATAGTGTTCCGTACAATTGTTGGCAACTTTGGTGGGTACCAAGTGATTGGGGGGTAGACGAGTTGTGGAATAAGGTTTATTCGCACGGGCGTAGATTATTCGAGAAGAGTGAGGTGTCCCGGTGTGGACCGGGGAGCAACCTCTAATACATTCGGAGGCTCCTTATATAGGAAGGAAGTAGTAAACGAAGTAGTACGAAGGACTGGAAGCTTGAGTTCTTCACAAAGTCCTGATTTGATGAAACTTCGTTGTGCACCGGAGTCAAGTAGTATCGTTACTGGCTGGTAATCCCACTCTGCCTCGTTGAATATGGTTGCCGAAACAATTTGAAGAATGCATTGATCCTGTGCAAGTGGAAGCACTTCGGGATTGTAGACTTCTTGTCGTGAGCCTTGTACGACGTGCGTAGTACTCTTCTCATGACGATCCTGACTGATGTCACGGGATGACCAAGGAGCAGGTGAATGTTGATCAAGTGCAGGATCTCGGTATTGTGTCGAGAATCCTCTGCGTTTTCCTGCTTCTGACAAACAAAGAGATCCATGGTGTGATCCTTTGCATTTGGGGCACACGCCAAAATTCGTGCAAGCGTTAGAGTTGTGATCGCTTGCAAAACATCTCCAACACACTCCTTGATTTGCTGCTTCAAGTCGTCGGGCTTCTGGTGTGGTGTACCTCTGACAGGTATGAGGAGAATGTGGTTGTCCACATAAACACAAGTGTTTTGATTTCGAAAAGTGTTTTTCTCTATCGCATCTGGTAGTCTTT